ACTGAAATTTGTAGGGGTTTTTATGTAAAATGGGACTGAGATTTTGAGGCTTGGATGTTTGACACAATTGGCCACAAATTTGAGGGGTGCATTATGCAAGGAAACCAATGTTGTTTGAGGGGTTTATTTGCAAAAAGCAACCCACAAAGTGTAGAGGGGTTTATTTGCAAAAGGGCTGAAATTTATGGCTGAAATTCCAAAGTTTAGACCACAATCCGATAACCAAAGTTTTGATAAGGGTATGTGGACGTTAAATTGGAATTTGTGAACGGGTCTATATGCAAAATTGGCTCAATCCTGCAAAAGGGCTCATTTGTAAAATTAACCGAAATTGTGGGGTATCGGGGGGTGCTATTGTTCGCGGGGAAAATCGTAGGTTTCTTTGTTATTGATTCCATTGTCATCTTGAGTTACAACTTTTTGAGTTACAAAAGATCCGGTCTTTTTATAAGATCCGGTTACAACGAAAATCAAATAAAAATAAACAAAGATTACAACTTTTCTCCTTTTGTGTCGAACGAATCGCGAGCTCCTGTTTTGCGGTCGCTCGCTTGGTGGGTTCTTTGCCTGCGCCGGGGTTGTTTGCCGTGGACCACCGCGAGATCTAGATCCGGTCGGATCTACGCAGTACGACGGGTATTATTTCACCAAGGAAATAATAGCCGGGGAGGATTGTTTCACCAAGGAAACAATCGTCCAAGTCTCGGGATCTAAGACCAAGCCTAGATCCGGAGTTCGTACGCGTAGATCTGAGATCTGATCCTCTCGAACACCTGCCTTATTTGACGTTGATGATCGCCGAGCACCAGATCTGAAGGAGTGAGTCCCCGAAGTCCCAAAGTTTCAATCTTTTTTAAGTTCCGAGTCTCCAATCCAGCAGGGCTTCGCCTCTCTCCAAAATTTCCAACCCTTCAAAATGAACAACCCCCTCTCCTATTTATAGCCAAGCGTCACTGTGCCCGTGTGCACGTGTGGCCGACACCCTAGGTGGCCGGCCACCTCAAGGTGGCTCGGCTCATGCCGAGCCACCCTGAGGTGGCTCGGCCACCCCAGGGGGTGGCTCGGCCTTGGCCGAGCCACCCTGAGGTGGCTC